GTTTAGGCTTTAGGGTTTGAGGGGTTTAGGGTTTAGGGGGTCCCTGTGATGAAGACTATGGTACTTTGGGTTTGTAGTGGGAATCCATTCATGGAAGCCCCCATATGGAAACCACGTCGTAAAGGACAGTTGTAGGGGACCTTTGGGAGGGTTCATGTTCCTTTGGGGTGCTACATTGTAGTGACTGATGTTTGTTATCCCTGTAGCTGAGTTAGAACTTCGGCCTTAAGACTAAACCCTATATAAGCCCAACTAGAAGCCATAATCTAAACTCCTTATAGGGCGTTCTATAGGGGCTATAAGGGGGACTACTATGGTGGTTGTTAAGGGGGATACCAGTAGTTTAGGCTATAGACCCGATATACCTCAATAATCGCTTAAAGGAACCTGAAGCCATGCCCTGTCCATTTCATTTCTCGTTTTCTTATCCATTGGGTTGAGGGTTTAAGGTTTGATGCTCCATTGTTGGGGTAGAACGCTAGATCCTAAACCGTTAGACCCTCAACCCTACCCTTAGGTTAGACGTATGGGCCCCTAATATGGGCTTCTAAACCTTTTAAGGAGCTTCTAGGAGGACAGATGAGGTATATCGTAAATATATAAATATCCCAAAGCTTGGGGCCCATACTAGGAGCCCATGGTTTCAACCTTAGATGTAGCCTACATACTGTAGACCGTTAAACCTCACCAGTCGCAAATCCAAGAGAATTGGCCTCTCTGAGTACGTCCCAGGATGCGAAACGAGGCAATGCCGCCTAAGGATGAGTTTATAAGGTTTAGGGTTTAGGGTTTGGGAGGTTTAGGGTTTAAAGGGTGTAGGGTTTGGGAGTTTAGGGTTTAAAGGGTGTAGGGTTTGGGAGTTTAGGGTTTAAAGGGTTTAGGGTTTGGGAGTTTAGGGTTGAAGGGCTTAAGGGTTTGGGAGTTTAGGGTTTGGGTTTCAAGGTTTAGGGTCTAGGGATTGCGACTTAGGGCTCGGGTTAGGGTTTCAAGGTTTGGGGGGTGTACAGTTTAGGCTTTGGGGTTTAGGCATCACACAGGGCTGTATGGGGATCATATTATGGGCTGCAGTCAGTATATCCTACATGATTTAATGGACGTGCATTCCTTATTAGGGACTATATTAGGGACTATACTAAACTGCAAGAAGGACCCTATGTCCACTGTTAAAGGTCCCTTAATGGGCCGAATATTGACAGTAGATCATATCTGGCTTCCTCTGGATTAGGCAGTCAAGGCGAACCTTGGCGCTTTAGGGTTTTGAGGCTGAACCCTAAAACCCGAAAACCCTAAAAACCCTAATTAATAAACCCCCTTCCCTTAGTCCCTTCCCTTAGTGGGGATTATGATAAGGATCCTAATATTAAGGCCCTTAAAAGGAGGGGGTTTATTAATCATGGGTCTACATTAAATACCTTTTTACAACCCTAAGAACCCTAAAGCCCCTAAAACCCTTCAAACTTCAAAAAACACAGCGCACATCCGGCCCAAGTCGGGGTTAGGATTTGAAGGACTCATTTGAGCTGGTCTAAAATCCTAGAATCCCCCTTATTGATAAGCCCTATAGTAGTCCCCTGATATAATCCCCTACATAGCCCCCCTTGAGAAGTTTAGTCTGTAGCTTACTTAATGATTTCGGAGGGATTGCGCCGGAAATGCGCTATGTTTTCCAGGAGTATATACGGTTTCCCAATATTGTCTAGAAGGATAGTGCTCCGCCACACATGGTCTTTCAAGGCTGGAAATGAAATTATTAGGGATCAATCGCGCGCAGTCCTCTGGCGATTCGAGTACACGCTGTTTAACAGAGATGAGGACAGGTTTACAGGTAAGGGCATTTTAGGCTACCCTGCATCCACTGACAGGGAACAAGTTTGCGTTGAGAGGTAGTGGGTAGGTGAAGAACCCAGATTATAGCCATCAAGGGCTTCGTGAGCGTCAAAGGGTGAGGGTTTAGGGTTTAAGTGCACATTTTTCCCCCTATCTCTGCCTCCTTCAGGCATTGTTTCGGAAGCAACTGAATTGTACAGAATGGTTCCTAAACTGGGCATATGTCCCGACATGCAATCACCCTAACTGGATTTCACCAGGGTGACCGCACTTGGTAACAATGTCATACTGTCAAATGTGAGCAGTTTGTACATCCTCTAAATGTTCGAGTAGACAGAAACAAGGCCAACACCATGCAGGCTCCCATTGCCTTACTGGTGTTAAGGGCTTAGGGTTTACGGGATCCCAACAATAATTCTCATCTAACCCCTCTATAGACAGCAATCAAGACTACCCAAATCACCCGCCCATTCCCCTGGAACCCTAAACCCTAAACACCACTGAGTTTCAGTGATTTTGGAAGATGGCTGGCCTAAGTCTCAGGGTAGGAACACATGCATCAGATATTGAGTGCCTCGATGTATGCCTCAGTAGATCCAAAAGACGATATGAAGTGGGCTTTTCTCAAGACTCGTATGTCTCTGCATATGGCTCGAAAAAGTGGAGTTTAAGAACGTCCGTAACCGTTTCTTACTTTTTGGGTGGGCATTTCTCGGATCTTTGGTGATCCCTACCGTAACTGCGTTGTTGAAACATACGAATCTACGCGCTGGTTCAAAAATCAATGGAGCCACAGGGATACAGGGAGATTATGGTGGAGAATTCTTCCCAAAAAAACAGGTGCAATGCGGCCTCCAACCCAGAGGTTCTCAGAAGGCCCTTACATAGCCTGAAAACCCTGAACCCCTTATGGGGTAGACCGTGTTGAGGGTTTAGGGTTTACCCTTAGGGTTTAGGCCGGGTTTAGGGTCTAGGGATATAAGTGACTGCGTATCTTTCACCTTGGGAACTATTGTATCGTGGTAGCATGAGTTCATGCGGGCTCTTCCAACTATCACTACGTATCATATGGTGCTTTCAGGGCCTCAGTATAACAGTAGCGCGCTGGCAAGGCCTCACGAAGTTTGCACCTGTTTCAGATCTCAAGCGTTAATCTCTGAAGCCTGAATCCTGCGCACGAAACTTCTAACCTCAATCCCTTTGAGTATTAAGGCCGAATCACTAAATCCTTGAGCCCTAAACGCCACGTTCTCAAGCCTTAGCCCTAAACCCTCCAGAGTATTCTCGATGATGATACTGCTACTAAAAAGTAGTACGAATACAAATGATGCTAACCAGGATAATACTGATACTAGTTTTGAATATACTACCATAAAAACGAAAATACGGGCAGAAACTTATATGACAATAGTGACAAAAAAGAATAATCATAGCAATAGTCAGAAAAATCATCACGATTGAAGCCTTCAACCCTAAACCGTAACCCTGAACCCTAAACCGCCTTCAAGCAAGCAGGGAGGATGGCCAGGGGCTTGAGCCCAGAGTGCCCCAGTCCGACCTCCGTCAACGCGCTCTGTTTAGGGTTTAGGGCTTAGGGAAGTTTAGGGGTTGTAGGGGCTACGGAAAAGAAAATGGAAACTATAGGGATTACAGGGTATGTAATGGGGATAATGGAAAAGAGAATGGAGAGCACTATTTGGGGTTTAGGGGTTGAAGGGAAAGGGGGTTGAAAAAAGGTTATATGCGGGGCATGGGGATATAGGGTTTAGAGTTTGGGGTTTGCGGTTGTAGGGTTTGGGGCTGTAGGGTTGAGACTTTGAAGTTTCTAGAAACCGTCCCCCGGACACGTATGGAACCCTGCTAAACCCTACGCCGCATACCCTATGCCCTCACCCTTCAAACCTCAACCTCAAACTCTAAGCCTACAAGTCGTTCCTTTGGTGACGGGAAGAATTTGAGGCTGGGGGCTCACGGTTTAGGGTTGGTACTCATCGAAGCTGCGGACATGGTGAGATTGACTACGTATGGGTAGTTGCTCAATGGCCCTAAGTTGAAGAAGACGATCAAGTGCGAAAATAGAGCTGGTGTCCCAAAAAGGAGCGTGCTTTTCAAAATTTCCCATGTTGGGGCTCGTTTGAGAAAATGATAGACGAGTAAACTTACACCTGACGGCCCAGGGGACTTCATACTGTAGGGGGCAGTTTGCTCAACGAACGTCAGGCTACACAGAACCTAAACCGCTATTAACCGTCTATTTAAAGTTAGACCATCAAGTACCTACATGCCCAAGGAAACGTCCATGACTTGCACACTGTAAACATGCTGACTTCCATGAACTTCCTATAAGGCTGTGCCATTTTGAGCTCCACCTGTGCTCCGTATTCGATCTCCATTAACACTCACCTGAGCTACTGACTAAAACTAGGCTGGGGGGGCGGCACCTTTAGGAGTGTGTATAAGGGTTGAAGGGGGACCTTTACGGAATATTCTATAACTCTAGTCCGGGGCTCACTTAATACAGTACCTCTCCCTTACTGTTGCCTTCTGGTGCTTTCAAGGAGGGGCTGCTCATGAACCCTTGTGAGCATGGATTGTGGCCCCTCACCGGCGCTTTTGCGATTAAGTAAGAGTTATGCAAAGATGCTCTTGGCTTTAGAGATTTGGAATTCTCATGGTCCGTTCTTGGAGGTTCCCTGTATGAAAGGTCTTCTAACGCTTTGGTGCTTTACAGAGCAGCGAGCAAGACTCGAACGTTTCCTCTATGATTCCCCCTCCAAATGGGGCCCTGATAGGCCTTCAAAAGTTTTTCCAGACTGCGCATGCTGGTCTATGAAAATTAAAGAAACATCTCTGAAGAGTCCCTTACTCTTCACTGTTTATCAGGCAACGTTCATCTGGGAAATGGCCTTTCAAACCTTAAGATGCCCCCGAGCTCAAGTGGACACCCAGGTAAGACTCCACGCATCTTTTCAGGGAAGGTACTGCACAACAAATGCTGGGTATGCCTGCTCGCGATCGAACACCACAAACTCCTGGTGAACTTGAAGCTGGTTCGGGCCGTGGTGTCCACTTATGGGCCCAGGCCTGACTGTGATAGAGCCATGCGTGCCAGATTTGCCAGTTCTGTTTGGAGGCTTCCTTGTGCCATACTGGGTGCTAGACGCATAGTAAGCATCACCCAGCGCAACGCGGGCAATGATCAAAGTCCTCTCACATTTACAAGTACAGGAGGTCTTGCCCGTGTGGATCCCGCAAGAGTACTGATGACTCTTGCACGCAGCACTGGCAAAGTAAACCCCATCCCCATACATTCCACGCGTACAGGTGCGATGATCGAAACCATGCATGACGATGGAATTAGCATTTTGCCAAGACGTCCCATGCAGCAAAATCTTCTCATCCACATCGCCAGCCAATGGCTCTCCGCAGTCGAAATGGGACTGGCAAAGTCCCATGGTGCCCTCAACGCCATCAAGATCAAGATCTGCAGGCCATACAGAAACATTGTACTTTGCCTGGTCTTCTCTCATGGCAGCTAGCCTTGCTTGGTATCGATGCCAAAGCTGAAAGTTCTCAATTCGATGGACAGACTTGATGGTGGCCTTCTTCATGTGGGAACAAATGGTCGCTGCATCCGATGCGTGACCTGTCGATCGAAGAATGCGGTTGGCCCACTCGATGACCCCTGCATCCTGAACCTCAACGTAAAAGGTTGCCAGATTGTCACGCTGTGTCAGCAAAGCGGCTGGGGTACTCACCCACTGTGGAGGAACACCGGCAACAATACGAATGTTTCGTTTTTTCCAGGTGGTTACATGCGTCTGAGTCATGGCCTTAAAGTCCACTACACGTTCAACTCCCCCGGCGACAATCTTTGCGGTGAAGCATTGCATGTGCTGAATGTATGTCAAATAAGCGTGATGCATCTGAGCGTTTCCTTCTGGTGAAAATGGGTGCCAATGGCCGTCCATCTCGTACTGCCAGCATGCACCATGATGAGCAGCGTGCTTCTGCACCTGCAAGTCAGAAAGCCGCTTCTCGGCAGCTTGTCTTTGCTCCCTTTCCATCTCCAGCTCGGCAAGCGTGTCATTCAGCTTGGACTGAGCGGCTGAAATGTCAAGTCGTTTCTGGGCTAGATCTGCGCTCAGATCTTTGAGCGCGGAATCGGCGGCATCTTTCTCAACTTTCTCCCTCTCCAGTTTGGCCAATGCGTCTTCAAGCTTGGACTCAGCGGCTGCCCTTGCAAGTCTCTCCTTTCTTAGTTCAGCAGATGTGTTTTCGAGCTTTGATTCATTCCTCACCAATTGAGCGCGTAAGTCTGTAAGCTCGGCCTCGACGCCTTTTCTTCCCTCATGCTCCTGAGTTACTTTCGCTAATGTAGCTGTCAGCAGGGTCTCGCTGACTTCCTTCTGCAAATCCAGCAGCGCTTGCGCTGAAAATCCGGATGCCCCATCTTGTTGCAGCTTCAAGAGCGCGGAATAGCAATCGTTGGCCTTCGTGTCCTTGCAGGAGTGGATGGCCACAACGGCGTGTTCATTACAATGAAGGCCGGTTGGAGGAGAAAAAGACTACCCCCAAGGGCAAAAGCAAAGATACTAGCTGGGTGGCATACACGTGGAAGCCCAGTTGTGTGGGTTGACCTGACTTGTTTGGAGCTTAAACAGCAACATGAGCGTCGGACCTCGAAAACACACAGCGCTGCAGGGCGTGTCCCTTGAGCTGCAAACCGTATGTCACCCTAACTTGTACTTGTATATATAGCTTCCCTTACGAACCGGGACGGCATGTGAGGATAACAAGAGAAATATGGGGTCCGTTCTAGGATGTGACACGGATCATTTTGAGTTTTGAGAAACACTGATATCTCTAAAGTTTAGAACCCTCCTAAGAAGCCTACTAAGACAAAGAGCCAATTACTTCTAATCTACCCTAAACCCCAAATTCTAAACCCCAACTGGGACTACCCCAATCTTTTGACGACCCTGGAGGAGGCGAACTTCCTGCGATTGCCGGATTTCGTCTTCCTGCTTCTGCTGGCCAAGCCTTTGGGAAGGGCTATGGTTTGTTGTTTACTAGTTGTTTACGGTTTAGGCTTTACAGTTTAAGGTTTAAGGCTTGAGGATTGGAGAGCTTGTCGATTCAGCGTTTCAGCTGTAATGCGCTAGGAGCGGTTGCCAGTCAATAGTGCTTAAGGATGTTTGGGGCTTAAACCTTGGGGGTGGTTCCTCTAGCATCCTTCTGCGAAGCTTGCTCGATGGCAACTCTATTTTGGTGGAAATCACCCCGTAACTCTAAGCGCGCGGCATAATCTCTAGGATCTCAATTCGCCTAGTCCGGGGTCTGGGTTCTGGGTTTAGGCCCTACACCTTACTGGACTCAGGTTCATATGAGATTCCCACATCCCATACGCAAGCCCAAAAAATCTCAAGACGATTCAACAGGCTGCGCCGTGCCCCCAATTTTTTTCTGGCGTTGGCCCCAGACGCATAAGCCATATATGTGTCTGTCAAAACATGGGGGCGCGGAACCCCACGCCCAAAACCCTCGACCCTATCTTGCAAGCATGGTCCTGGGCAAAATTACAAGGCCCTATTCAAAGATCAAACTACTGCCTAATACATTGTTGTACTGAGATGATTTCGACTTTAGGACATAGGTCACGTGTGGGTTTAGAGGTCGGGTTGATGTCGGGGCCCAAATACTTGAGAATACCATCCTTGGGTTTCTCCCATGTACTACAGACAAGGACTGCAGGACCATAATATTTGTAATGGTTTAGGCTCCTGTACTGGGGTATAAGAATTTCTGTCCCTCCTGGAAGGCCAATGACCTGAAGTATTGTGCAGAGTTGCAGAGCCTAAGATGCGCAAAGTATTGAGAAGTGGTTTGAAGTTGTTCGGGCTTCTCACAATCAAAAAAAGGATAAGGGTGCAACTTTTAAGTATACAAGCTGTAGAGTACCAGAATCAGCAGGAACCCTGTACTTGGTAGCTCCCAGGAGGATCCGAAAGGTTTTCTATGAACCCGTGGAACCCTAGTAATGGTACAGTACCGCTCGGACATGTCCGAACCCAGTGACCAGGGTTGAGGGTTGAATCCCCATTTGGGGGTCTCCACACATATGGGGCCAAAATGTATACTCCAATATGTCAATCCGCACGTAGGGACTCCTAAGAAGGCACCCCGATTTTTGAAAAAGGCCCCAGAAAGACTATTATAGGTGAAAGGGGTCTATATGCGGTTCCATGTTAGTTTCGGGGATGATGATCTTTGCATAGACTGCGCAATCCACCCTTGGAAGTTGTCTTGCAGACGGCCGGAGAAACCGGGAAGCAAACAAAAAGACAAGTCCCTTTATCGCCGCTGTCTTACGGAGTGTGGTCTATGACCTAAATAGACTCTAAACACATAACCCGAACCCCAATCTCTAGACCCCAAAACTTGCAAGTGGAGTCTTAAACCTTAACGGCTAACCCCAGAACCGCATCAATAAACCGTAAGCTTCAAACTCTAAGTCCTACCCGCTAAACCCCGAAGCTTATGTAAGCTTCTAAAACCCTTATATACCTCTTTTGGAATGCCATGAGCAAATCTGCATTTCCTACTCTTAGAGAAGCAGCTGTTGCCTTTGCCTGGATTCCTTCAAGGAGCTTAAACTAAGTGGCCATCTTTAAGTGCCCTAGAACACTTTCAACTATAGTTTCAGTGGCTCCAAGGATGATGATAAGTAACCGAACTTCAACACTATTTTCAGGCAACTTCCAGCTGTTCCGAAAAAAATATTATTCTGTACTAATATGATGATGCCTCAACCCTCACCCCTATATAACCCCTACATGACCCCTCTAGAAACCCCATAACCCCTTAGAAGGAAAACCATCATGGTAACCTACTACAAGTTATTCAATGCCAATCAGGCTGCTGGTGGTGGCGCTGCGCCTGGAGCTCACAGAAGCTGGGAATATCCTCACAGAAAGCCACTGCTTAGGCTTTTTTGCTCCTAAGAACCTTGAGACCCTGGCGCAGATTCCAGTAGGGATCTGGAAAAAATGCGAACAGGATTGTGGATATGGGTTTCAACCTGTGCGTCGCACAAGAGCAGACGAAATTGGGATCGAGGCCAGAATATGTAGGGACTGCAGGGCTTAGGGTTTAGGGTAGGGATGAAGTATGGAGTTCAAATGGGGACCATACAGAATTCAAAAGCATGCAGCCACCATATCTGTGGACACTGAATATAGATGTGAGGATTATCTGAATAATAGGTAGCTAGTATGGATTACATTGATTACATCAAAGTGTGCACAAAGGCATTAGACATTGAAGACATGAGCTTCGAAAATGCATTCAGGCTATGATTGATGACGCCCCTAAAATTTCAGTAGTCAATTTTGGCCAGCTCACAAGAATCCTCGTTCATGAGAACTGCATGACAAGGTATTGGTGGATGTGGGACATTGTGGTGGGTTCTGCAAGGAACAACCAGGAATGGCGTTGAAATGCCCAGGAAACCTTTAGTAGAGCAGCATGACAACCAAAGATTCAACGTGCCATGATCTTTAAATGGTAGTTCCCCAAAATATGGGGACCCCAACATAGAGCCCAAAATACTATAATCCGTGTTATGGGGACCCCAAAAAAAGGAATCCTAATTTTGCGAAATCCCCAAGCCCCCCCGCGCACCTTTCTGTCTGTCTGAGCGGTGTGCTGCTGGTCGCTGCTATTATCCTCGATACACAGCTTAGTCTGAAGGGGTATGTTCCAAACTGCCTACACAAATCCTTGTATGTGCATTTCGGGACATGACTACTACAATCCGACTGCTGATGATATGGAGAACAGGCCGGCCAGTCATGAGGACCACGCTCGCACTTAGGCTTCTACCAAAATACCTTCTTCGCACTGTCTAGTCTGAACGCTACCATCAGCTTCCTCATCAGGGGGTGATTGTACCGAGTGAAGCAAACTGCACGAGAATGAGAAGCGGATCTTCATCTTGTATAGGGATATAAAGGGACTATTGCGGCTGGCTAGACGCGAACAGAAAATGACACACACCCTGCGGCGGCGAAATAAACAAGGTCAAGGCTCATTAGATTTCTTGAGCTGGCCGTTGTCCAGGAGCGGAGGCTTTGCTGCTTGTGCACTTTGGAGGGGCGGAAGGAGAGGCGGAGGGAGGAGTGGCGGCGCGGGCTGCTGGCGCTGAAGGAACTTGCTGGAGTGACGGAAAAACGGAGGTGGAGAAAGGGGCAGATGGAGAGAAATCGGGATCGCGGAGATGGTATCCTGGCTCGAGCTTGTTTGCGGGGAGGCTGACCTTTGAGGCAACCTCGCGGTCCACTTCGAGCTCTTCAGTGACTGCTCGGGCTTCTGCTCTTGCAGCTCCTTCACTTGCTAAAGCATCAGTAGGCGCTGACGCTGATCTATTATGGGAGCAGGAAATACTTGGGAAGAGGAGGGAGGGTCAGGAGTGACAGCATGGAACTTTTGGGTCAAAGGACGTTTCCCCAATATGCGACTGCCACGGAGATCATGCAGGTGTTGTGTGAGGGGATTCTGGAGAGACCATAAGGGGATAGCCTTCGGAGGGTAGATGACGCCTGTAAACTTTGAAGCACGAGTGTAGTGATTGTATCCACATGGCTGTAGGGATTTCACATATTCTATGGGGTTGACATACGCGTTCCAAACTGTTGACCCAGGCTACAGGGACAAATGGTCGCCTGTCAAAAACCTAGTAGGTTCAAGAATGCCTGCCGGCCCTCACTGGTAACTGGTATGGAAATCTGAGATACACATTTACAGGTCAGGGACTTTGCACAATTTGGGGATTTCTCAGACTGCACCGACCCAGGAGTGAGTATGTAGGCTCAGCTTTGTGTTTGGAATGGAGAGGGCCTCCAAACTAGTCATGCGATGCCTACGTATAAAGAAACCTCAAAGCTGGTAAGGATCCCCTCTCAAGGAATACAGAGGAAACACGAGAAAACACAAAAGGTTGAAGATACACACTTCGGGGCTCACCTTGATCCTTCTGCATTCCAGGGGGTTACCGTTTGATGTTTCTTAACTTCAGCGGGAAACGTTCTGCACTCGGGGTCAGCGAATTGCTGCACGTTCTATTGAACAACTCCTGAAATCCTGGGCTTACAATGCCACGCAGCTTACCATTTGAAAAAGAAAAACGCCATGGTTATTTGTCAACATCGCTTTTTCAAAACAAAGAGACCCAAAAGCGGCTGCAATCAAAGACTTATTCCAAAACACGGCAATGGGCGCCCTTCAAGAATGAGAGGTGCTGCTCCAAAGAACTGCATTGAACATCAAAAGGTCCCACTTGCAATTGATCCCTGGCCGCACCTTTTCGCAGGTCTCGCTGGCCTGCTGTTTGTCACCGCTATTCTCCTCAGTGCACAGGGAAAATGATCCGAGGTCCCTGATTATGATGAGCATGCTGACACTGAAAAGGTTTCTACAACAAAAAACAATTCTTCTCACACTC